GCCAGCCTCCTGAAAACCAGTTATTGGCTAAAGTTTGGGTTTTCTTTTATTAAGAATATTCTCTGAGTCATCTGAAAGTGTACTCAGTTCTTGGGTTTTCCATTTGTTCAGTGTTTTGGGTTTCATTTTAATTTTTCCCTTGAGAACCTTTTTATTTTTTGCCAGTGGGTAATACCCAACTATAGGCCAGTGAATGATGACTTATTGGTCTATGTCCTCTCAGTGAGGTACTAGGATATAATGGTATTACCTAAGATACTGCTTTGAAAAGTTCAAAATGTCTGGGGTTTGTTTTGGGAAGAGACATTAAAAAAAGAGGTTTAGTTACTATCAGACCGTTGGCCATTTTTTGGTTAAAGTGTAATGATTTTGGTGTAGTTTGGGAAGAACTTTCTGGAAGGCAAACTGGCTCGTTTGTTTCCCAGATTGAATTAGGTTGGCTGTTTTCAAACCAGTAAACTGAGAGTGTCTGTAAATGGGGAGGTTCCACTGGTAAAGCTGGGGAGAGCTTTAGAGAGACTTCTGCCTCACTGCAGGTGCCTCTGAACACTTGTGCTGAGGGGCTTCCTTTGTGGGGTGCCACTTGAGGTGTAAGCTGGAGCAAGCAGGGGGGTTTGACTGCTCTGGTGTCCCTGAGGGGTTTGGACAAACCTCGTGGCTTCTGTGGTTTCTGTTTCCGTTCTTGGAGCTGCTATTTGCATTTGTGTCACTGCATTTGTGCAGAAACCCCTGGGGGGTGAGGAGGGTGCCTGGGGAGTCACCATGCTGCTGGGGGAGCCAGGCCTGCTCCCGAGCCCCCCGTGCACCCCGGGGCAGCTCCTGCACCCCGGCTCTGCAGAGTGTTTCTGTGGCCCTGCAGCTTCCTCCTGCCCAGCATTGGCCGTGCCCTGCAGAGGGGTCACACTGACCCTGTGCTGTGCCTCAGCTCCAGGGTTGGGGTCAGGATGCTCAGTGCAGCCACCTATCATAGGTCATAGGACCATTTTTGTTGGGTCACTGCTAACCTGTGTCCCTCACCCCACATCTCCACGGCTTGGAAACCCCTCCAGGGGTGGGGACTCCACCACTGCCCTGGGCAGCCTGGCACAGCCCTGGGCAACCCTCCAGGGGAAGGAATGTTTCCTAATGTCCAACTTAAACCTCCCCTGGTGAAATTTGAGGCTGTTTTCCTGTGTCTTATCAAACATGTTGCATTAGCCTTCCCAAGAGAATCAGAAATGAAGTACATCCTGAACAACATCAGGGTTTAGGAGGAGACCAACATACCTGTGCTGCTCTGTGCTGAGTACTGCTTATACAGTTTGCTCTGGACCAGTCTGGGGCCAGCTGGGGGGTGCTGCAGGGGGAGCTGGGGAACACTGCTGGACACTGGACAAAAAGTGTTGCAGGTGGCTCCTGCAGCAGGGAGGGGTGAGTTTGCCACCAGGCCTGCTGGCTGCAGCACACAGAGCTCCAGGTGTACGTGTTTGCTTCAGAGGATGTATGTTTTCTGAAGGTCCCTTCAGTATTTGGGGCTTTGAGCCATCATTTCACACCCAGGCCTTGGGGGCTGTTGTCAGATCAGCACAGCGAGCTGTGACTCCTCCAGTCCTGTTCAGAGGCAGCACAGCAGAGGGACCCGGGTGTCTGTGATGAAAACCCAAAGCCAGGTGTAGTCTGCACAGTAAAATCATGTTGTTTAATTTTGACAAAGAGTGCCAGTAAAGAGGATGAGGTTCCAGTGACAGTGGAGTGCAGAGCAGCACAACGCAGCCATGCTGGGACGTTACAGTTTGTGCAGGGACAATAAGCAAGGCCCTGAGTATCACAATAGCTGGAATGAACTTTAGGCACTAATGCTTGTTCAAAAAATACACGGTATGCAGGACAACACTTATCTGTTAAGGCTACATCATTTAATTTTCCACAGATACGGGTAGATTCTGTTTTATCATCTCCTTTGAAGAGTGGAAAGCTAATCACATCAAATGGAAATGCAGCTCCGTTAGTTAATGGCTTGCAGAGAGCCACAGCTGGTAATAAAACACCTGTTCTGGCAGTGGGAGTGAGGCAGTCACGCTTGGTGTGATGTTTTTAAGCTTTCTGAAATGATGTATTTGAGTAACAGTAACATTTCCTTGGCATTCACTGGGGTAGCTGTTGACTTCACTATGTGCCAGTGAAAAGCCTCAGTTCTTTGTGGCCCTGTGGGCCAGTGCCAGGGCTGGTACAGAGTTCCATAGCCATGAAGTGGATCTTCAAACACAGGTTAATTGGTCCTCAGCAGCAGGAGCCATCTCACATAAGTCACAATATAAATACTACCCTGGAATTCACAGCTTGACATAAACCAACACCAGACACTGCTGCAATGAGGGCACCAGCAAGTTCAGGTAAACACCTTAACAGTGCAGCAGCAACAATTCTACAACATACCCACAAGCAGCAGAGTCACAGAAATATTGGACAGAGACACAGGATACAGCAAATGCTTTTTGCAGCAGACGTATAGAATGTGAAGCATGTACGGACTGGTACTTCCTGGTGAGGGCATTGAACAGCAACTGGTTCACATTTGTTGTGCCAAAGCACTAAAAGAATTTCTATGACTGGCAAAAGCAACCACATTGTGGAAATTTAATTTGCCATAAAATCTTGTCAAAAGTGAAAGGTGTTTTATTTTATTCTTATAAAAATCTGGAGTAGGGGGTGAGGCCAAACCAAACCTTTTATTTAATGCCTCCCTGGGCCCTCTGCTGAACTCAGTTTTTAAAAGCTTTTTATTGTTTTCCATTATTTCTTTAGCTCTCACTTTAATCCTGGCTGACACTTCCAGCCATCTGAGGAAATGTTAAAAACAAATAAAAAGCAAACTAAATTAAAATCAAATGAGAAACAGCTGAGCCTCCTGAAACCTAATTAGCAACCTGCTCTAGCTGCAGATGTCCCTGCTCAGTGCAGGGGGGTTGGACTAGATGGCCTTGAAAGGTTCCTTGAACCCAAACCAGCCTGGATCCTACGTCTGCTGTTCTTTATTCACCCCCCAGCAGTCATCCTGTACCTTGACCACCCCGGGAGGACTGGCAGACCTGAGGGGTACCTCCAGCATCTCCCTCTGAAGCCCTGTGACCTGCACTGGCACTGGCCCATGGGCCAGCTCCTCTGCTGTCCCTGGCCAGGCAGACTCCACAGCCTTTGGGATGGCCCCGGCCCTGGAGTCTCCCGAGGTGCCCCCCAGTGTGACACTGACATCCCCTAGCCCGGGGCAGTGCCCGTGGCTGCGGGGGCAGGCAGGAGAGGAGGCTCACAAAGGCTCCTGTCTCTCTCTCCTGTTTCTCCTCCCCCTCCTCCTGGCTGTCTCTGGCCGTCCCTGCGGGCAGCAGCCACGGGAGGGCACCTCGTTCCCGCGGAGCAGGGCCAGCCTCCCGGCCCCGCTGCTCGGCAGCAGGCTTTGGGTGAAGCCCCCAGTCGGTTCTGTACAGCAGAGAGCCTTGGGAACCAGGGGGCTTCGAGTTCTCCAGACCTATGTGTTTATTCTCTTGGAAGGGCTACAGAAATCCACCCTCTTGGCCAGGTAACTCAACCATAAGGCAGCAGATGCTGGCCCTTGTAACTGAAGAACACAAAAGCTCTATTTAAAGCCTAAGTCCTGTAATCCACAAATAATGCTGGTGATGTACTTAATGAAGCTTCATATAAAAGACATTTCCTTCTATTAAGATGAAACTCCACCCTCAGATCTGGGAAGGGAGACATTAGGAAGGGATTTCTGAGGGCAGAACGGTTTGCTACCCCAGTTGTGAAGTGCAGCAGGTAACTCCTGTCCTGGAGCCACCAGAGAAGCCTGAGCTGCTGTCAGACTTTCATCTGCCTGGGGAACAGGGTGAGATTCTTCCCACCAGTCTGCTGGACTAACAGTTGGCTACTTTAAGAATTACCATATGGAGGGAGGGTGAAAGAAACAAGCTGCAACATGGAAAATTAGATATCAGAAAGAAAAATTCTCACAGTGAGGGTGGTCAGACACTGGGCCCAACGGGGTTATGGGCTCTTCATCCCTGGAGATGCTCAGGATCCAGCTGAGAGGCCCTGAGCAGCCTGCTCTGCCAGAAGCGGCTTCTAGCTGAAATTTTCTGTGATTCTGTGAAATATTTGTATCATTTAGAACATTAATAGTATGGTACTGCCCAAAGACTGTAAAAAGTACTGAACAAATTACTTCTGCTGCAGTGTTTTAACATTCAGCAAAGTCATAAGAAGAAAATGTTCAGAAAATGGAAGAGTTAAGAATAACCACTTTCTACCTAGGAATGCCAGATACAGTCATGGGATTACCATGAGTGTGTGATTAAGGTGCCCTGTAACTTTTGCTTTCAAAACTTCAACAAGCTTTAGGACTGTTCTGCCTTCTTGGTCTCTTCTCAAGGTTAGAAGTACTTTGGTTGAATGCTTTTTGAGGTAAGCATTAAGAATCTCTGCTCCACAGAGGACATTAAGTGCAGTCAGCACTGGCCTACTCTTGCTCCTTGCAAGAGTGGTCTAAAAATCTGGTGGTTCTCTTCAGAAACGAAGGCCTGAACTTTCCTTTTCTGAAGCCTAGCCTGCACGTGTGAGGTGTTTTCAATGCATCTTCCACCGAAAGCCCCAACAGGGTCTTTGTGTGGCTGGGGCAGCACAAGGTGCCTGGAGCAGGCCAGGCTGGGGGCCCCAGGATCACCCCTGTGACCCTCCCAAGCAGTCTAGAGATGTTAATAAGCGGGTGAGGAGAGAGGTCTCTGTCTCCCTTATCTCATAAAAAACAAAACAAACCCCAAACCAAAATGGGTAAGGTGAACTAACGGCTAAAGTGTTAAAATCCTCCATAAAAACCCTTGAGACGCTGCAGAAGCTGCCGTGGGGAACGGTGTGGGGTGTTCCCTGTGCCCGGGGAGCAGCTGGGGGGCTGGCCCTGCTGGGCTGGCCGGGGGCAGGTCCTGCAGGGCGGGTGGGCAGGGGGCAGGACCTGCAGGGTGGGCAGGGGTCTAGGGGCGCTGGAGGAACCAGACCTCGTTGGGGCGGTTGGCGGCGGCGGGGTTGGTGTACCCTGCGATGATGAAGGTGTCCTGCAGGCACAGCTCAGGGCTCTCCAGGATTGCTGCCAGCAGGTTGATTTCTCTCATGATTGAGTCTTCGTTGGTGATCCCTCTGAAGCTCCTGTAACAGTCAAGTTCTTAAAATCCAGGTTTTCCCAGAGCCCAGAAATGCCGCCTCCTAAATTCAGTCGTCCCTACCTGTGTCACCTCACAGATGGCAGGGTTTGTTGTGTCTAAATCTGCAGTGATGTCAGATGCTTTGTCCCCAGCTGTGCAGGACAGCTGTGCTTTGTGATGCTGTTAGAGCCCACGGTTACAGATGCATCACTTCACCCAGTAAGCTGGTAAAGGTTCCTTCCCAAATGTCCCAGCTGGGTAAACCAGGCAGCTTCCACCAGCTGCTGAAAATCACACTGCTGTTTGTCAGCTTCTGGGACTGGGCTGGAAAGGCCTAACATGGCTAAATCAAAAACCCCATCTTTTTACTGCTGTTCTGAGAGGAAAACAAAGCTGTTTCTCACCTGCTGTAGACAATAGTAGAAGGCCACTCCTCGATGATGATGTCAGAGTCAAAGGGATGTGGTGGCTCCTCCTGCAGCACCTCGGGCAGGTAGTAGGCTACAGTCACCGACTGCCTCATCTCCGACTGGGACTCGTTGGTGTGCACTATGGTCACAATGGGGATTGTTATCCCCAGGTACAGCCCTGAGGGGAGAGACACGACTCTTAGGTGATGCAGAAGGATGTCTGCATACCCTGCTTGGTGCAGAGCAGGCTGAGTAACGTGAAGTGAGTTCCACAGAGCAGGGCCTCCTTACTGACAGGGGTTCTGTAGGGTGTTTCAGAAAGCAGTGTTGTGCATTCCAGGTGGAAGCAGCATTTCACTGTGCGTTGTAGAGTGTGTGTGTATGTGTAGCTCGAAACCTAGTTGTGGAAAAACATCCACATGTCTCGATGTGGTATTTGGTGAGCTCTCCTATCATCCTGTGGGGCACAGAGCTTGAGGTAACTTCTTTCCTGCAGCTTATCTTGTAAACTGACCTTGTGTTGTGGTTTAAGTGTTTGGGAACAGCCAATGTAGGACGATGGAGCTGCATTCTGAATTTAGGATTTGCTGTTAGGAAGCATGTTGCTGTATTTTTGCAGTGCTGGGGGAAGAGGTGGTGATTTTGCCTGTGCAGGTAGCAGGGATGATGGGGAGCAGGAGCTTTGCTCTGCATGCAGTCTGAAAACAGAACCACAATGTTCTGGAGCCAAAACTGCATTTAAAACATGTTCAAGTGTTGAAAGAATGGGGAGAGTGGGGAACATACCTGACTATGGAAAAGCTTTTGTGATCAGTGGTTTTAGTTTTTTTGGCAAGAAACTTAAAGGTTGACTTGATCCCAGCCCATGTGCTATTACAGAGCAAACCATGGGTGCTGCAGTGCCTTCTAATCAACAGGAGAAGGAGAACAGGGAGAACTGATGGCTGGAGGCTAACCAGGCTCAGCTGGCTTGGGAACCTGGTGCATGTTTTTCCTGCAGGCACAGGCTATCAAGGACCTGGTGGACTTGTCATTATGTTAAAGTGCTTGACTTAAAACTGAATGATCTTTCTGGAAAATTTGCTTCAACCACACAACTTTTCTGGTATCCCTTCAGACATGCTCAGGCTGAGAATCATACACTCAAATGAAGGAGACAAAACATGAAGGTCTCTTTTGGCATTACACTCTGACCACGTTTTTCGAACAGGTGATTTTGGTGCTGCTGTGAAAGTGAAACCACCAAAATTCTGTAGCATAGCCTAATTTGTAGCTGATAGCCTGCAAAAATGGGCAGCGTGAGTTTTGGGGAAGTTGCACTGATCACAGTGCCCCTGGAAACAGTGCTGGCTTCTCACAGACATTCCCCTGTAGCACGCAGGCAGGAAAGGGTCCCTCTAGGCAGTGTGGATGGAGTATTTGGAAGAGCCACTAGAAGTATCTACCCAGTTGGGAGGAGGCAGTGCATAAATACAGTGTTTTAACTTTAAGGTAGAACTGTGGTGCCAATTACCTGAGGAGTTCTGCTCGCAGATGTACCTCATGAGCTTCATGAAGCCAAGGCATATGCTCTGTTCATACTGCTTTTCCTGCATTTTTATACAAGCCCACTTGGCTTTTCCATACTGGCGTTTTTCATACAGCAGATCTCCAAGCTGCAAGCACAGGAAGATGATCATTTTGTATTTTAAGTTAATCTCCTTAAAAACCCTGAGCAAACAAAAGTCACATGGTATTTCAGTGCTTTACTCAGAGCATAGAGAAATGCATTTCTTTAGGTGTATGACCAGGAGGAGAGCAGGGACAAGGAATGCTTTGAAGGCTCAGTGTCAGCTCTCCTGCAGGGTGTTCTCCTCAGCACAAGGTCACACGTGCTGCATTTGAGGGCCCAGGCTGGCACACAGTGAGCAGCCAGCCACCTCCAGTGCAGTGTGCCCCTCACTTGGGTACAGGAGGACCTGGGTGATTTTCATTGTCAGTGAAGTGATCTTGAAAGGAGTGAATTTCAGTCCTTGCCCAGATCAGCCAAAAAGGGACATGCTGCCCATCTTGGACCAAACTTATTTCAGCAATAATCATAGAATCATTAAGTTTGGCAAAGACCTATAGAGTCATCAAGTCCAACCGTCACTCAACACTACCATGGCCACTAAACCATGTCCTGAAGTGCCTCGTCCACATTTCTTGAACCCCTCCAGGGATGGTGACTTCAGCACCTCCCTGGGCAGTCTGGGCCAAGGCCTCACCACTCTGCCAGGAGAGAAATTCTTCTGAATATCCAACCTAAACCTCCCCTGGCACAACTTGAGCCCACTTCCTCTTGTCCTATTGCTGGTTACTTCAGAGAAGAAATCAACCCCCACCTCACTCCAGCCTCCTGTCAGGGAGTGGCGGGGAGCAGTAAGGTCTCCCCTCAGCCTCCTCTTCTCCAGACTGAACACCCCCAGGTCCCTCAGCTGCTCCTCACAAGCCATGTTCCCCAGAGCCTGGAGTGTTGGCCAGGGGTTGTCTGTTAAAATGAGGACCTGGCATCTTTTGGACTTGAAGCATTAAAGTTGCAGTGAGCACTGAATAACCTTATTTTTTACCTGCAGTTCTTACAGTAGCACTGAGCAATCACTTTCAAGATTTTCACTGCAACATAAATAGTCAGGAGTCCCAAACTGTTTAGCTGAAATACACTCAATGGAATTGTGACACTGACAAATTTGAATTATGTAGATCTACTTAATGTGACAAGAATTCTTCCTATGTGGCTAGTAAAGGGTTTCTTGGTTTGTCTTATGTTGTCTTGTCCTAAAGTTGGACACTCGTTTGCTTATTTCCCGAGCTGCAAACAAGTTGTTTGCATCAATTTAATTTTGTCCTTAGAGGTTAGGATGGTTTTGGTAAGATGAGTTTGGAAACTGCTGCTTGCTTTGATAAGGACCCATGATACAAAAGTGTGTGTTTGGTTTTAAATTCAGACATTAATCTCTTTCAAGTATCCTTTGCTGAGGTTTTATCACCTTCATGGTGTAAAGAAGCAAATGCATTATTTCAGTGAAGACAACAGATCCTGGTGAGCTGTCAGCAGTGTAGCAGTCAGTTGGAGTGGCTGCTCTGCCCTGGGGAGGTGGGAGCTCTGAGGGGTCAGAAGCAGGGTATCCCAGGCCCGTTTTGGGAGGGGGCGCGGCGGGCGGTACCTTCTCCTTGCGCTGGATGAGGGTGAAGGGGATGGGCTGTCTCTCCTGGGGGCTGTTGTTCCTGGTCAGCTGCTGGATGGGCTCGGCCATGTCTGCAACAGAACAGCACGGGCTGGCTTCAGACAGGGCCTCTGGGGACGGGGCTGGGTTTGGGCAAGCTGAGCTTGCTCTTCACTGCCAACAGGAAAGATGAGTTGCTGTTGGTCTGTGCAGCGTCCCAACAGCTGTCATAGAATCATTAAGTCATCAAGTCCATCCATCACCCAACACTGCCATGACCATTAAACCATGTCCCCAAGTGCCACAACTGCATGTTTTTTGAAATCCTCCAGGGATGGGGACTCCAGCACCTCTCTGGGCAGCCTGTTCCAGTGCTTCATTACTCTGTCTGGAAAGAATTTCTTCCAAACATCCAATCTAAACCTCTCCTGGTGCAACCTGAACCCATTTCTTCTCATCCTGGGAGAACCTGGGAGAAGAGACCAACCCCCACCGCACTCCAACCTCCTTTCAGGGAGTAGAGAGCAAGGAGGTCTCCTTGCTCCACACTGTGGTTCCGTGAGCCCCCAGGAAGGCTTCTGGGGGTGCCCCCTGCTCGGGCTCTGTGCTGATGACACTCCCAGTTGTAGGAGCTCTGGTGTTGGGTCAGTCTGTGTCCAGGGAAGGGGTGAGTTGCCTCGCCTGCTCTTGTTCACGGGCTCAAGGGAATACTCCTGTGGAAACTGTTGTTTCCCAAAGGTGTTTTCTGTCTAATATTTCACTTTAGTGTTTGGTGGCAGGTTTTATTTCAGTTTGGAAGGTTTAGAGTGAACATCAATATTCTAGCAAAATTGTAAGGGTGGGAGTAGAGCAAAGCAAGCTTCAGTGCCCTGCTTGTCAGGTTCCCTTAGAGCTGGCAGGAAAGAAGTGGAGTGATTCAATTTCCTCCAGCAGCCATGGTCAACAGCAGATGCTCGGGAGGATGAAGGGAAGACACCAATGTTGCTACCTGACCAGAGGGGACACTGTGTGTGCTGCAGGGCATGCCAGCATCAGGAGCAGAAAAAGTGGGACCAGGGGAAGAGAGTACTACCCTGCCTTCAGAGAAGAGGAGAATTAGGAGGCAGGAGCATTAACTTGGCTGAGGTCGCTTCGTAAATCTGTAGCTGAGCTGGGAATCAAACCTCCATCTCCTGGCATCCAGTGCAGGGGTTTTACCCTCAAGGCTATCTGGAATAGCAAAGATCCTTTCAAGGAAGGGGAGAAAGCTATGCTCTGGTTAATTTTAAACTTTTATTTTTTTAAGTGCCTTAGGGAAACATTTAAAATATAAGTAATAATTGACATGCAAAATTGATCTCTTTGGAGGCTGAGGGAAAGCTAGAAGATGATTAGACTTCAGCACTTAATTTTCCATAGAGTATTAAAGAATTAGGAAACATTTTAGGACTCTAGAAAAGTTAACTATTTTTGGATTCCTTTAGTGATAAATGTGTTTTGATTGGGGATTTTTTTTTTTTTCCTTTCTTCTTCCTTGTTAATGCTCAGGAAAGGGATTACAACTAATTAAAGTCCCTTTAGGAGTTTTATTCTTCAGTTCACACATCCATGCCTGTCTGGCATGATAGTAGAGCATTTGGATCATAAATATTTTCACTTGCACAGTCCTTAAGATCACACTGCCCAGGAGCAAGTGAGTTGCCTGATGTCACCTGTCAGCCCAGGCTTGCACACTGGGGTAGCAGCGTGGCAGCAAGGCCAGGGGAGCAGGGGCAGCACAGCCAGGGAAAGGCTCTGCTTAGTTCCCCCTCAAAACTGGGATTAGGGTTGCTACTGGAGGGAGGTATTACGACAGAGGCAAATCTTTACAAAGGGATTTATATAGATAAGGCACATTTGGCAAGACTTGTTCGTAGCAGCAGGATTGAACAGTATTTAAATGGTGGCGTGTCTGGATTTGTGCCTGGTGGGACCTCTGGGAGTGCCCCTGAAGTGGGATGTACTTGGCAGCTCCTTTGTCAGCATGAACCCCGGTCTTTGTGCTGAAGAGAACCAGTAGATGTGCCTTTGGAGAGCAGCGAGGAGCAGCTCTGGGAGGTGTCTGCCAGCACCTTCTTGGAAGGATATGATAGAAGTAATTGTTCCAAATCCACCCGCATCATTCTTAGCTCAGGGCTGGGCTGGGCTTCAGCCCGAGGCTGCATCTCGGCTGACCCAGTGCTGGACACTGTGGTCCTTCCCCACACACTCCCAGGAGTTCTGGCTGCCCAGCAGCCTTGGTTCCAGCAGAGCCTGGCTGCTGCTTTCATGAGGTAACCCCAGCAGGGAGGTACCTGGGAACTGATGGATTCTGATCTAAAGCTGGGTCTGCTGCTGTGGACACAGAGTCTCCAGACAACTTGATGCTTTAGCAGGTGGATGGCTTTCATGGGTCACAACTTTCTTGAGTTTGCTTGGTAGTGAATGTGAATATGGAAACTGAGAAACCTAAAAGTAACTGCTGTAGCATGTTTTCTGCTTCTACCAGGAAGAGGTGAAATGGAGTTTTCAAGCCAAGAGAGTTAGATTATACCTTTTAGGCACCTTTAATTTTTTTTTTCCCTTTATGTTGCAAGGTTTGGCTTAGGCCAATCAGTCTATATGATTAAAATCTTGCAACAATGACAAATGGCAATGCCAGTCATATAAAGATCTGTTGTTCACATCTCCTGAAATCTTAGTTGGTTTTTTTTTTTTTTTTTTTAAGAGTGCTTGCAGCTTTCCTGTTACCCTTTAAAAGCTACAAACCAAATCATCTTTCTGAAAGGTGTATTTTCACCAGAGAACAAAAGAGGAGTCAAAGCCTGGAAGCCACCTCTGTGCCCAGTCTGTGTTCCCCAAGGCTCAAGCAGTCTTGGGCTGACTGGGTACCAACCACAGGTATCAGCAGATCCCTTGAGCTTTGAGTGGACTGTGGTAACCACTCTGGGAAATGGGGGTAGGCTGCCCTAGCTCAGATGGATGCTCAGAAAAATCCTCTACTTTAGATTTTGGTAACATTTGCTTAGCATTACAAAGTAAACCTTTTATAATACAGCAACTAAAATGTGCAAAAATACTACTTTTGACATATTTCCCAGATGTGACATCCTACCTATTAAATCTGAGGAATTTCAGTACTTTGTTTCAGGACATATCAAAATCCCAGAGAGTTTTCTGGGAAGGATTCTTGTTTTCTGCTGCATAGAGTGACTCTCGGGGAGCAGCTTGGCACCCATATGTTGGGACCCCACTCGTGGGTGTGCTGCAAGGAGAGGCTGTGCCAGCTCTGCTGTGTTGGGATGTAGAAAGAGCTTTTAAGTAGCAGTGGATTCATGTTGCTGTGTCTGGTGTGGTTGGTGGTTCCAGGTTTTGCTGGTCCCAGCCCTCCCAGGTGACTCTCCTGCCCTGCAGAGATGCTGCAGAGCCCTCTGCTCCCCTCCACAGTTACAGCTGAGGGCACTAAGGTTGGACTGGTATGAGTTGTCTGACTTGTTACAGGCTTTTTTAAAACTGAAAAGAATTTCTTAATCAGATAAGCCTGGGAAGCCTCCTGGCAAAAAGCAGAGTCAATCCTTTTACTTGTTTGCTCTGTGCCATGCTCCCGTTCAGCCAGCTGTCTGTAAAGAGCTGAGCTTTTGCGTAGACAGGAGATGGGCTTAAGGAGGACGCTCTGTCAGCTACTCAGCATTTAGCCAAGACTGAGAGCTTGCATCTCAATCTGTTGCTGCTACAGCCTCTTCTCTACAGTCTTTCAGGCTGTCCTGTGCAGCGTTCTTGCCCGGGTTCTGCCTGCGGGAAGGGTGCGGAGCGCCGGCGGGCGTTCGCTGCCGGGGCCCCCGCGGCCCCA